ATATATATGCAGTAGTTAAAGGATTGCAATAACAAAGCTGATGTTGTGTTTTGGGTCATTATTTACTTTTAATAACACTGAAAATTTTTTGACACATAATCAAGAAAATTTAATAGTTTTGGGAATTGAGTTTTTCCAACGTGGCATAACCATATTTTCATGATCCAAGGAAAATTTTTTCTTTGAAAGAACGAATCGACGTGCAGCAAAATGGCAGAACTGCTGCCGCAGTTGTGTTATGTTTCGTACTTACCAATATCTGTTGGCTTTGTCGGTGTATGTCCTGGCCTGTGTGTATGTGTCTGTGTCTGTGTCTGTGTTGAGTTTGAGTGTGCATCTGTATTTAGATCGAAAACGGCATCAAAATTTATAAAAGTAGTTAGATTCGAAAGGTTTTTCTCAAGCAAGCCAATCGATAAAACTCGATTTCTACAATTTTTTTATTTAGATTTTCAGTAAATTCCTTCAGTGAATCAATACATTTCAGTGTTTTCTACTTTTAAGCGCAGAACGTCGAAAACTGTAACCTCGGTTTACTTGTGTGTTCAGTATCGAATTTTTTTCAGCTGTTCCCATGGTTTAATTAAGGGATTTCCGTTGGTTTATTTTCTAGTACAGCCTGAAACAAAAAGAATTAGTTAACTTTTTCAAGATCTAACTATTTTACAAAGTGCCAGAAGCGCCAGTTCATGTCAAGCAAATAGATCCTTTTCCCTGTTTGCTTAAATGTAGAAGCTGACAAGCTTATGGGGGTGACTGAACAGGCAAATTGCAGTTTTGTTAAGCTGATAAAATTTTGAAGTCGAAATTCTACGTCAAAGTGTGAAGCTTTGTGCAGATAGATAAAGTGTTGATTGACAACTAAGAAGAGTACTTGCCTTTTTTCTAGCTCTAGTTTTTTTTTTTTTTTTATTTGAGACAACCGGAGAATTAAAAGAGGAGAAGTTTTGCCTCTTTTTTTTTTCAATAACACAATGAAAGGGAATAATGGAGAAAAGAAAAAGAAAAGAAGAAAGAACAAAATGATTGAAAAAGAAATTCTACATAAACAGTATTGGTATGTTATAAATGTTTGAAGCGTCCTTTTTCTATTTGCGTATATTCGAAGTGGGTAACAGAAAGTAATGAAAACAGTGTTTCCATGTGTGCTGACAGAGACAAGGTGTTGACGCAGGAAGAGGAGGAGGAGGAGGAGGAAGAGGATCGAAGAAAGCAAAGGTAGTGAACCACATATAACTCGTATCGGCTCCAGCGCAGTCGTGAGCTTCGCTGATCTTTGATCCGTTATGGTGAACTAGATCCAGTTGGCAGTTTGCCATATTCTTTAAACCCACGCTGTTGCTGCTCGCCACGGCTGATGATGACGGAGCAGCTGAAGAAATAACTGCTTCTAACTCATGGCGAGCGGTGGTGAAACTTGGTAATTGTTGCAGTGTGGTTTGGTGGTGATTTCTGATCATTTGAAATCCAACAGAAGAGCTCGAATTTATCTGCTTTTTGGATAACAAATTTTTTTGGAAAGTTAAATGACAGGAAACATTTGTTTCTTCGATGACCAATTGGTGAAAGCCGCTTTTGGGATCATGACGGCACATATCAGGTAGCGAAGCATCGTACACAGAAACAAGTAAGAGCTCAGTTTTAAATGAAAATCGCTTTTGTTTAAAAGAGGTTTGAAAGAGAAAAAGATTACTGCAAAGAAGGAAAAAAGTTGCTCATTGGAAATGAGTACGGAAACACTTTTTTTTATGTTTTTAGTTTTTGCGTTGTTGTTTTATTGTTAAAAATGATTCAGTTTTTTAGTCTTGTATTTTAGTTTTTTTTTTTGTTGCGTTTCCAAATCTGTTGTTGTCTGTTAGTTGGAAGTAATAGTGGTACTAATGATTGTTTTAGCATTACAGCGATTTTAGTTTTCAAGATAAGAATCAAAAATCGTTATTTAATTTGTAACAGTTACTGCTTAAATAACTTTTGGAGAGTGCAAGGAAAGTGGGGTTCTTTCTTTTTTGATTTTTATACGAACACAAGAAAAATTTGCTCTTTTCTTTCTTTTTGGAGGAGATTCAAAACGGTCTCGTGCATTTATCTGTATGTTTGTGTATGTATGCAAGTGTGTTTGTGCGCATCTGAATGTATGTGAGTGTTTGTATTTGTGTGATTATATATATATAAATAAATAAATATATATATATATATATA